GCAAGTTGTCTGGCTGACAGCTTTTTTTTGCAGTGACCCCAAATGACCAGGATCACAACAAAGTCCAAATGCACAAGGTCTAAAGTGATGGACTTTCTTCATCCCTCTGTGGGGCTGCTGTTACCCCAGGCTTACTGTGAAGGACCTTGTGGTGATGCACCTTGTAGAGAGTGCTAAATGAGACAAAAGTTTATTGATATTGTAAAAAAAAAAAAATGATGTGACCAGCTCACCTTGTGCATTTGCAGCTAAGCATCTTGGAACATGAGGTGAAATAGTGGCGTGTTCTGAGCTGTGATGGACGTTGACCTCTCCCCCCCAGGCAAAGTAGAGATATCTCAGGGAATCCACGCTGTGTTCCGCGACGCGCCTCTGACGTGGGTCCCGGGCTTCATCAGCAGGGCCCTGCTGGTAATGGAGCAGGTGTGTGATGCAGCCCCACACATCAAGATATCCAAGGAGGGGGTACGTGTTTAAAGCCGGAAATGCATCCGTGATGCTGTGGTGACGTTTGACCCAACCCTGAGCCCTGCTGTGCGTGTCATTAACTTGGGGCCTGTATCACAGGGGGGGATTTGTTGGTTAACTAGATAACTTGTCAGATTTAATGTAGACGCTCCTCTACTTACGAACGAGTTACGTTCCGAACGGCTGTTCATAACTTGAAATGTTCGTAAGTCATTATTCATCATTATTTTAAGGGTATATGCAAGTACTAAGAACTAGGATGCTGGGAGTCCGGACGCTGTGCGGCGGGAGTAGCGGCCAGAAGTTGTACTAGGCGAAATTGGCGCGCAGAAAAAAAAATTGATGTTGTGGACAGGAAACGGGAGCCCAACAAACATAATTTGGACTTAGTCATCTTCGTTCATATGTCTGAAAGTTCGTAAGTTGAAAGTTCGTAAGTAGTAGAGCATCTGTACTTCAGTTTAAGAACACAAGAAAGTTATTAATGAAAGGAGGCCATTTGGCCTAACAAGCTCACTTGGAAGGAATTAAACTACCCCTTTGGGCAGGCTATTCCATACTCTAATTGCACGCTGTGAGAAGTAGTTCTTTCTCAGATCCAATCTAAAGTGTTCCCCCATTAATATATAATGGCCACGGGTTCCTGAGTTAGAACTATTTTGATGTAACAATTTGCAGGAACAGCACCTATCCCTATTATAACTTTATATACCTGGATCATGTCTGTCCTTGGTCTCCTTTGCTCAAGGCTAAACAAATTCAGCTCTGCCCACCTCTGTTTGTAAATAAACTTTATTTTTGTTCACTTCCATTTAGTCAAGACAACCTTTATTCCAACATGTTGTCTTGCTGACCCAAAAATCCAGCCTCGTGACTCAGGCCTCTGGTGTTCTGAGGGGAAACAAGATCAGCACTCAATATTTTTTATTTAGTTTAGTATTTAGTATTTAGTTTGTTCAGGTATTACTCACAAATCCATGTCCATCACTTTCTGGTCCTTTTTAATTTTCTTTTTTCTCCGCTTAATATTTTTCATTTTGATTTGAAAATGCCGGTTTCATGTAAGAGGTCAGTATTTAAAATCAGTGTTTAGGAAAACTGCTGGACATTATCTAGAGTATCAGTCAAATATCATTCATGCCTGATTTTCCCCTCTGATGTCAGGCCTGCAGTTAGAGCCTGAGCTGTGCAGTCCACCGCCTTACAGGGCAGCTGATGTCAGGCCTGCAGTTAGAGCCTGAGCTGCACAGTCCACCGCCTTACAGGGCAGCTTTGCATTTGTAAGTGAAGAGGAGACAGCAGGTGGATTTTAATGACCCCCAATTTTCATTTCATTTACCAAATGTCAGGCAGTGATCTGTAGTGGGTGACATTGATTATATATTTTTTTTAAAACTCAGATCAGAATTTTCTTCAATCCTGTACACTATGAGAACATGTTTTGAGAGTCGGTGTCGCAGTTTTCTCTCATGTTAATTCCAGCTCGATTACCTAGAGGGGTTATTGAAAGATCTGTCAGCCTCTCATACCCCTGAAGAGGGTGGGGAGACCCCAGAGACTGTCGATGAGGAGGACCAGCTGGAGAGGATGAAGGTCCCAGAATATTCCAGAAGGTTTAAGGTGTGTAAAAATGTCATTTATTATAAATGTTTTTGAGGTATATATACAATCAGCACTTTGTGTCCGCAGAGGAGTGGTTCCAGGATGCCCCCCCCCCCCATGTACCAAAATCCAAATCTCTGGATGTCAAATCACGTATTATTTGCATATAACCTACACACATCTTCCTGTGTACTTTAAAAACATCTCTAGATTACCTGTAATACACAATACAACATAGGGATAATACTAAGTAATAATTAGCCAGATAAATGATTTGAAAATGGGTTTTTCTTCCCTCACGCTAAAGAATCGGGATCACATACTGAATTTTAACCAGCGTTCTTCTTATCAGCACAATAAGCGGTGCGGATAAATGACAAAGGACAGAATCTCTGGCATTCAACCGCACCAATACGTCAAGCCTGAACGCTAAGAGGTGAACAAACGAATAAAGTCCCGTTACATTTCAGCCGCTCTCACATCTGACTGAAAATTATGAGCCTCCCCTGAAAGTCATTTTCAACATAGTGCTCAGTGCTGCAAAAATCATGCTTTGCTTTTTAGAACTTTCTGAATGTTTTTTTTTGTTTTTTTTTTTTCCTCCTCCGAATATCTTCAAACCGCTGTTGGTTGGAAGCAGAACCCGCAGATCCAGAAGGCCGATTGTACTGATAATGACCTTTGTGGTTCAGTGGGCATTACACTTGCTTTATACCTGCAGGGTTTGGGAATTAAATCCCAACCCTGCTTTGTGTTTTGAGTTTGAAGGCATTACTGTGTTATCTGGCTTCTCCTTCAGGTACTGCAGCTTTCCCCGCAGTACAAAGATTTACAGTCTGTTTTATTGGTGCGTCTAACTGGACTATAGTTTATGATGATGTGTACACCCTTGTAATGCACTGGCATCCTGCCCAGGTTGTTCCCTGTCTTGTGCGCTGTGCTGCCTACAATAGACCTTGTAAAATCCTCTAAATCCAGTTTAGTCTAAAATTAGAGAAGAATTGGAGCCCCACTTAGCCACCCAATGGGAGAGTTGTTCCCAAGCCTTGAAACTACTGGATGTGCATCATTGTGCTGATTCTTAAAGTAGGGGATGCACTGTGCAACAATGTAACCTTCTTCAATCACCCCATAAAGAAATGAAGGGAGTCTGAAGTATGCTAAAGTAAATGTCCTGTTGATGAGATCAAAGAAATTGACTGCTGAAAGAAATATTATTGAATTTCAGTCTTTGTGAGTAAATACCAAACTGCGTGACTGTGTTTCAGTCACCTTTTGCATAGAAGATCATGATGAGGATGAGGATGATGATAATAGATGATGATGACGAAGATGATGAAATCCAGTGTTACACTTGCACCCCCATCTCTGGAGTCCAAACCACAAGCTGTTTCAGGGGACCATCAACAGTGACTTCCCAGAAATTTGAACCAATAGGTCATGTTAGGGGTGGGCGATATGGCAAAAATATGATAACATGATATTTCTCGGACAGGATCAAGATCCATGATGTCATCACGATTGTTTTTCATGTTGATTTTTACGACTCTACAAGTTACTCTACTGTTACGATGCCGGTTTTGAAAAATCTAAACAAATTCCATGTTACCAACGTTGAATGCTTTTTAGGGACCACCTCCTCCATGTCGTCCATGCCACTACATTGCCAAATAGTGAATGTGTTGTATGTTGGGCATGAAAAGGAGAGAGGAAGAAATCCAAGGCACTACCTACTGTTTGCTATTGCCGCTTTATTGGTGTGTCGAAGTGGATTTGGCTGATAAAACAACTTTAGATCCATAGATCTTTATGAGCCATAGAGCTGCAAGTGATAGAATGTGACCTGAATCACGATACTAACAATCTCACCGTACAGGCGCATTGTAGAGACATCTTACTCATTCGAGGTCGTGAGTCGCACACCCCTACTTACAGTTTGTTAAATGAGACGTTGAAGCTGACCGTCAGCTTAATCCTGTATTCTGTCTGTTCAGGACCTGAACGGTCGTCTGCAGGCCCTGGATAGAATAGACGTCCGCAGTCTGCAAGCCTTGACATCCAGCCTGGCGGAGGAGAGCCTTGTCGCAGCGGAGGCGCAGGACGTGCAGCGTTACCAAGGAGCGATGAAGGAGTGGGAGGAGGAGCGGCGCGATCTGGCCAGGAGGGAGGAGGAGCAGAGGGAGAAGGCGCAGCAGGAATGGGCAGCCAGAGCAGCGGAGAAGGCAAGGCAGCCACTGCAGAAGCTGAGCCGTCACTGAGACCCCCTGTGCTGAAAGGGCTGGACACTGGATGAAGGGGTGACACCATAAATGTTCCAGTATTTCAGTTTGCTGTTGTGTCGGCATGGCAGCTTTAACAGGAACATATGCTACAACGTCAAGGAACTGCTCGACCGGGAAGGACCTCATTTGAAAATATTCCTCTCACCATGTGAAATGACAAATGTTTGTTTAGCAGTAATAAACAAATCAATCAACAAAGTTTATTGTATATTTATATTCTGCAGTCATCTCCTGCTTTGTCCGATTGTAACATAGTCACTTCTTTAACCTTGGGGTTGTAAATATTTAATTTGTTACAAAATATATGCTCAGTGTTCAACGCTGTTTACAGACACTGCACATTCAAAGTTATAACGCAGGAAAAAGACCATCATTGTAGCAGTAGCAGAGATCTTGCTTATACCCTGGCGTTAACTGTTGTTGCGGCAGGAACCTAGACTTTCTGGGGACCTGTGTGTACCCAGTAGCAAGTGTTTGCTGTTTCAGTGAAGTCTCAGTTAAAGACTCTGTTGTTTTGTCAATTTATATACATATGTACCCACACGCATATAGAAAGGTCTAAATGTGTACATAACGATGTATTTATAATTGTTTCTGGTATCAGGAGTGTGACTTGATTCTGATGAAGGATAAGACAGAAATCAGCACTGGCAGAAAATGAGGTTTATTAGCGGTTAGCTGTTACAGAGGGTGCTTGGTGCTTCCATGTACATTCACGTGAGATTAATGAGATACTGCTCAGGGACTCTGCTGTTTACACGTTTAAGCATTTACTGTTTGGATAGACTGCGGTAAATATTTCAGAGCGCTTTGAAAGGATACCTGTTCCTAAGGGTGTCAGACTCTTGATGGATTTGTGTGGTCTTTGGTGTTATTATATGCTTGAACACAATGACGTAAGTGTTTGTTTATCATACGTAGCTGTGAACGGCATCTGCGCTCTTAGCATCAGCACTAATTTATATGACGTACAGCTTGATAAAACTTGGGTATTTCGCCATTGACACACTGTAACACTGTCTGTTGTGTACAGATTGAATGCAGCTTCTTTCTTTAGGAAACGTGTTTGGACGGAATAGTTTGCATGAAGCCTCATGTGATGTTGCTCCCAACCCTCCATAACAAGTGCAGCAAGTATGATTTGTAGAAAAGCATATTTTTCCACAGAACTTTGGTCCTTCTGGCTGTATGTTTCCTGAAATCTGCTTGCGATGTTATTACATATATTTAAAAATAATGCAATGTGTACCTACTGCGATAGCTTCCGTGAACCACTGACGTTTCATAACAATAGTAATAAATACAGACTTGTACAAAACTGCTTAGTAAAAAAAAAACTGGCTACACTCAACCACAGTGTGACTGTGCAAGTTAATAATCCCTCATTACTGTAATTTTTTCAGCTATGAGATAACAGTGGGTCTTTCTAAGCTTTGGAGGTGCTGTAGTTGTTGTCTTTAAGGCATTTGACGAAATACATAAAGGCAATTCTATTAATTTCCCTTCATTTTTATACTGATTGAAACTTTACTGGTGGAAATTAATCCATCCATCCATTTGTCTTGCAACCACTTTTGAAATATATGGGTGTGGGGAACCTGGAGCTTATCCAAGGCAGTGCAGGGTGCAGCGCAGGGAACACCCTGTAAACACTCGTGCATTATGGGTAATTTAGATGTGCCAGATCACATCACAGATAACTGCATGTTGTTGGACTGTGCGGGGAAATCGGAATACCTGGAGAAAAGCGACCGCAACAGACGACATGCACACTCCACACACACAGACCCGGAGGCAGGTGAATGCAAATGGGTCTTACAAAAGTTTTGAATACTTTCTGTGGCTAAATATGGGGAAGATATATGGATGGATGTCATTATATCGGTCTTTCACAATCCAGTCCTCAGGGACTCAAGGTCGATCCATGTTTTTGCTCCCACCGAGCTCCCTGCCAGACTGTCCACTGGGAGCTGGGAGGGTGCAAAAATGCGGACTCTCTGTGGGTCCCCAAGGACCGGATTGGGAAACACCGCTTTATATTATAGTGCAACTGAAATTTAGAATTAAGGTAATTTAGCAATTAAACCCTTGATCAAAGCTTGCTGAATATCTTAATTCTATTTTAATACCACCCTAAAATCTTAGCAGAAGGCAGCATAGTGAACCCTGCATAATCTCTATATTCCCACCCTTTTTCTTTTCTACCTTCAGTTCTGTACATAAAAGATTCTGATCTATGCTTTTTAATATACACTCTGCAATTCTTGTCATCCTATTTCAATATTTTAGTACCACAACTATTTCATTCTCTATAGAAGTAACCATTACTCATAAAAACGTAAACTGCATTTCTTGTGAGTTTCTTTCTAATGATAGACTATGGCTTATATTCTGAAGTCAATGCTCTTCAGCTAAAAAAGGATATATAACTAAATAGGGGAAAAACACTCATTATCCCTGTAAATCACTTTCTGTCTATATCATTGTCCTAAATACACACTAAATAAAGGATATGGTTAATATTTCACTATAAGCATTATAACACTTTTTAAAATATTTTACCCCAAGTGTCTTAAAGCTCACCATAGCAGTTTTACAGTATGTCAGTTCAAAATAATCCAACTCAAATGTTCTTTCCTGTCATTTGACACTACGAATCCATATATGATGCAAAAAAATAGTTACAAATGGGAGCTGTAAGGAGTGTCTAAAGTAGGGTTGCCACCTCAATCCTGTAAAATCCTGGACACCCAGTCACTGACCAAAAATACTGCATATAGCAACACCATTCCAAAGGTTTCAGATATGTTTGATAGGGAAACTGATAAGGACATTATGTGTCCTGGAATGAAATTAATTTTTTTGCAGGACAGGCGACCAAAATCCAAAGTGGTCCCAGAAAATCCTGGATGGGTGGCGACCCTAGTCTAAAGTGCACTTGTATCACTACAATATTATTACTGGTATTAATTGCTACATAGGTTATATTCTGCAATTTCATATACATAAATATATTTCAAGAGGAAATGGAAGCTGCAGAGTGTAATCTGGTAGACAGGGATCACAGCTCAATCTTGCAGGCAGGAAAGGACTCGTCCTGCATGAGCACAGTGCTACTGCTCGCCAGAACAATGATGTTGAGCCTTTGCTGTTCCTCACAGGTCTGCTGGTACCACCGCTTCATGACCTCCGAGTCGTGGGTTGGGATCACGGTGACCTGTGGGCCAGAATCTGACTGTGATTCACTGTGCACTGCTGATTGTCCCAATGCGCCTTGATAAGGCTGACAATAACTCAGTTAAAACAGTACGTTTCTACACGCATGAAATTCTGCCTGATTTAACTGCCATATAAAACTTGAAAACATTAGGCATGATACATACATTAGACACTTTATTTGATGAGGCACAAATAATATAGCATATAACAAATAATATTAATTATTACTTATGTATTAATTAACCACAAACTAAATCTTCGTTACATACTGATCTCATGTTAATTCATCGTTTATGAATCGTGATGTATGTTTTTTCTCAAGTAATTACTGTATTTGTTACTATATCTGTTAATGCTATAAACCTTTGTGAACTACTGAAGGAACAAGTAATGAATAACGCATGTGAAATACTATGTTTGTTCATGATTTGTTCATGATTTGTACTTCAGTAGAAACTGAGTTATTACTAAGTACCTGCCCTGTCAAGTAGCTAGTTTTGCATGCAGCTTAGACTTCAGTGTACTTCTACATGATAAGCAGCTCAAAATGAATAGAAAATAAACATCTAACCTGAAGGTTATTGTCCCACTGAGATTTTCCTTCCAAAAGAGAGTCCAGAACAGCTTTATGGGGTTCTTCTGCCACTGGATCGTGGCCACTGACAACATAGTGGGAAGACCTAACTCGCCTGAAGAACTCAGCGTCGACATTTTTGGCATTTCCATGGCTTGGAATGTACACCAGGTCCACATATATAGGGGAGCCGTCTGGTGGCCACTTTTCTGGTGACTTACCACTGGCAGACCCTTAAATGCAAGAGTAATGAGCAGAATGTGTAATAATCCATATAGTCATTGCCCCTGCAATTTTGAACATTGTCATCTTTAGTCAATTAATGTCAGTTTAATAGCTGGAACAGTAGACATACACTGCAGGAGTCACATGATTTGTCCATGCTTAAAACAACACTGAAAAACATGAACAATCCAGCTCAATGCACTGGTCCTAGAATTATGGTTTCAATCTCAAGAGTTGAAGGTAAAAATAACGTTATTATTATCATCATTATTACTGTTATTATTATTACCGCAACAATAATAGTAAGTCTTTATAACCACTGTCAAAATGTGATACTATAGATGTTTGTTAGGTTTACAGGACAGACACTTACCCAGAGATGCGGTTTTTGTAGCCTTTGTGGCCTTGATATTGCTTGCGTTTTTTTCTTCTTTTCCCCTTTTCTCAGTCCCCTTTAATTTTGATGCTGAAAGATCTTTTTTTCTTGGAGATGCAGTCTTACTCGCCTTGTCTGCAGACCCCACTGAGGTGGCCTCTGCATCACTTTTCCTTGCTGCTGGGGAAGGTTTCGTTTTCAGGCCGGGCTTTTTGGTAACAGATTTCTCTTTAGCCCCTTTTATTGCTGAATGCTGGTCATCAGTCAGAGCCACTGGATCAACGGTGCAGGTATCCGCTTTAGGGGGAACTGGAGGGCCATCTCTGAATGAGAGTGGAAGAGGGTCCCCGGTACTCTGCCTTAGAGTTATATCTTGTGTTGGGGAGGATTCAAAGTCATCTTCAGAGTCCACATTAGCATCAGCAGCAAAAAGCTCAAGGGGGCTTGGGTTGATAAACGATGGTGAGAGCTCCAACTTCGGGTCCCGGTACTCGCAGGTGTTAACCAAACAGAAGTCTATATCAGGTCTAGAATATCCAGTAGTGCTCACTTTATTTCTGTTTAAAACATCAGGCAATGACTGGCTTTCCAGATTACTGTTCTGAAGATCTTTGTTTTGGATGATGTTAGGTTCATATAGAAGTGAATAACCTTTGGATGATGAGGAATAGGTGCCAAAGTTGTCTTTGTAGTCAAATGAATAAGAGGATAGTGGTAGATAGGAAGGTGGTGAAATCTCAGGTTTGACTTGAGATTTAGACTTACAAGTGGACTGTGCATTAGACTCTGCTGCTACAGGTACCGTCTTGTTACATTCTAAGTCAGAAAAGGTGGACATTGAAGAAGAAGGGGCCATTTCTATGGTGGGTGAATGTGATGTCTGCTGTTCAGCTTTGTCATTTTTAGTCTGGCAAATTTCTTGGTCACAGTATGTATAATCCACATCTGTAGGGCCATTTGTATTGTACTGTTTGTTTGTCACAATGCTAGTCTGATCTGGGGATTCTTTTGTAAAATGTACATCTCTAATGTGATCAGGGCATTCTACACCTAATTTCAGAGGTGCTAAGAGTTGCTCTAAAGCCATCTGCTTTTTGGGTGGAGAAAAATCTGGGAAAAAAGAAACTGGTTGGGGAACTCCTTGTTTAGGTGTCTCAATCCTGGTTTCCTGGGGAGCAGGTAGATCCTGGAGTGCAGATATGGATGCAGATGCAGGTATTGCTGCAGGCTGTGTAATGACTAACTCTGCAGAATCATCTGATGTTGGCTCAGGAATATAACTAGTAGTTCCTGAGATAGAAGCAGCCAGGGAGATCTTATCCTCTTCTACATCTTCACTGTCAGGGGTATCTGTCTTGTCAGATGTTTTTCCTTCTGATACAGACTTATTACCCATGTCTACTAATTCTCCAATCACACTGGAATCCAGTGATATCAGAACCTGTAAAAGATCTTTTGAGACATTCACTGATCCCTCCAACTGAGCTTCTGAAGTATTCTCACTGCACCTTTTTTGGCACAAGGCTGATGTATCTACTGAGGTCTGTTTCACATGTGAAGAAGAAAATAAACCTAATTTGACATCCTCTAATGGACTTGGAGGCAATGACAACTTCCTGTCATCCTGACATAAATCTGCTGAGGACTGGCTCAGTTCAGCAAGTGATTTTCTATCTCCATACAGAGATCCATCTGATGGAGATCCAGATTCCAGAGATGGAGGACTAGGAAATGGGGTGGGCATCTTCTCAAATGATAATGCACAATCAGGAGCACGGATATTTATAATGTTGTCACCAGTAACTTCTGTTGTTATAACACTTTGGGGTTTGTGAACTGCTTCAACAGTATTGGATAAACTTTCAAGAGTAAGTTGCGAAAAGCGAGCTCCATTTAATGTGTCATCTTGTTCAGTACTTGAAGACTTACATACTTCATTTTGGTCTCCAGAAATAACTCTTTTTATTTCCAGCGGAGAATCCATAGCACTCAGCATCAAGTCATGTTTTAAGCTGCTAACATTGGCAAAGGTCTTTAGGAGTGGAAAGGCTGAAACAAAAGTACTTGTATCAACAGGCAGTTTGTCTGATATGCCCAATGCTGATTGGTGACCAGGCTCCAGGATTTTGTGTGCACTCATTCTGATAGAAAGTTGCTCATAAGACTTGTCTTCCTCATACGATGAGGTTGGTGACAGAGTGGCAGCAGACATGGGATAATCCTGACCTTCTGTGATGTCACTTTTTGAAAAGTCTGATTTGATGTTGTCCTGAAGTAAAAACATATTTTCTCTTCCATGGACACTAGGTGGTGCAGCCCATCTTGACTTGGAAAGCTCAGAGGAAGACTTCAGTTCATCCTGGGTGGTCGCATTGCTCATAGGTTCTGGTATGGGCGTGTGAGCAGTCTGATCTGATGCTATGTAAACATCAGCTTTTGAATGTGTGTTAGGTAACAAGGTTGTGCATTCCTCAAGAGGCCGGTGAGGATATTCCTTATCAGGCACTGCATTACTTTCTAAGCTTGCCTGATCACTTGGTGCAGAATGACAAGTAGAAATCCTAGCTGGTTCACCAATAAATGATGTTAGTTTCTCACTAACAACTTCAGTTCCTGACTTACTTAATTCATTACTTTCTACTGAGTCCTCTGGCTTCTTGAAAAGATGGTCATGCTTGTGTTGCACATCATCCTTTGTTTCTGCTGTAACCAGACTGCATAAAACTTCAGTTTTTACCTCTTCACCTTCACATTCTCTGGTGATAGCAAACTGCTCTCTCTTTCCCTCCTTGGTTTCCTGTTCAACCACCGCTTTTGACAAGTCAACTAAAACACTCTCTTTATCTTCAGACTCTCTCACACCAATTTTGATTTGTCGCATAGGCAAAGGTTCATCCAGGCTCTCTTGACCTTCTTCTGCAGCTTGAGTAGTTGTTCTAGGCTCGTATCTAAATTCTCGGAGATCTTCACAAAGCCCAGCTTCTTTGGGCTGGTCCTCGACTTTTAATTTTTCTTCATAAGATGGAACAACATTTATAACATAGCCTACATTTCCTTGAGCTTTAAGCTCCTCAAATTCCTTTGTAAGATCTTCTGCAGAAGACATTAATGACCTTTCAGACTCTATAGCTTCTTCAATGCCAACATCAGGAGAGTCCACCATTGCTCCAGCGCAAAGATTGTCAGTCTTACTTTTGTTCAGTTTAGGTTCCATTTTTGGGGCCTTGATCTTCTTCTCTTTCGATTTCCCAGGGCTTCCCATATCCTTCCTTGGTGATTCTTCTTTTTTTGGGACTCTCTGTTTTGGCACAGACTTTTTACCATCCCCCGGTGCAGCTGTAGGTTTTTTCAGATCCCTTGTGGGCTTTCTTATATCCTTTTTCAGATCTCTCTCTTTCTTTTCTTCTCTTTTTGCCTCCTTCATCGGAGAATCTTTCTTTGTATCTCTTTTCATGTCTTTTTTTGTCTGTTTCTTTGTTTCTTCCATTTTTACTTTTTCTTCAACTTTAGCCTTCACTTCTTTCTTAGTTTCTTTTGTATGTGTCTTTTCTATCAATGTCTTCAATCCTTTTCCAGTATCATTCTCTTGTTTTGGTTTTGTTTTGGCTTTGTGCTCCAAAGCTTGGGTTTCAGTTTCCATTTCAAGAGGTACTTTCTTTTTCATCTCAAAATGTTTTGTTACCTCTTGAACAGAATCAGTTTTTGAAATTTCCTGTGATTCCTCCTTTGATTCTTCTTTGCATCCCAGGCTAGCTGGTGGCTTTGAAGTCGACATACGACTTTCCTTGCTGATACTTTTGCTTTTCATTTTCACTTCTTTTTCTGTCTGTGCAAAGTTTGAAGATAACTCTGTTTGAGTGACCTCTGGCTTCTTCAGGAAGTCTAAATGCTTGACCATATCCAAACCCTCAAATATATTTTGTTGCGTCGTGTTGCCAGGAAACAGGACACGAACTATCTTCTCAGAAGGGTCAAATGGATGCCATACCATCAAGGATGAAATGGAAGTTAAATAAGAAATTGGGATTTCAGACTCAAAGTAATTTGACTCTTTGTCTGCATAACTGTCATTCCAATGTTTCATTAAGTCCTTGTATTCTTTGCTATTTTTAACTGGGTTTAGCACATACATCTCCAACCTCCCAACACCCATCTTTTGAAATAAGAGAATAGGATCTAGAGAATTTCCAGAGGGACGATAAAGTGGCTCTGGTTTTATGGACAGTTCATCCAAGCAGTCCAGTGTGATGGATGCTTCCTCAACAGGCCCTCTCACCCTGATGTCATGCTCCAGTTTCCTAAGGTTTTCAGGAACGTTCATGAATACAACCCCAAGATCTGGTGAGATAAAATTTTTCGCCCATTCACCGTCAGTCGTGGGGCCCTGGGACCGATCCCTCTTCTGCTCTGCTATTTTCCGCTGAAGCATACTGTTGATCCCAGGCAGATTGTCATCCCCAATGTGAGTAACCAGGATTGAGTCCACTCTGTCCAAATGTCTGATCAGCCTCCAGAAGCAAGACTTGCGCTCTGACCCTCCGTTGATTAACATGTTAAATCCGTTGACTGAAAACAAGGTGGCGTCTCCTCGTCCACCTGGAAAGACGTAACAGCATGGCTTGGCGAGCTTGAGGAAGCCTCCTGAGCTGGGAGGTTCCAGCAGATCAAATGGTGACGGAACTTCCACCAATTTAAAGATATGCTGCGTAAACTCCGAAAGGCCATCCATCTGAGGCAGTACAACGGTGTTCTTCAACTTTAGATCAATGAAGTCTTGTAGATTGTGCCTGTCCATATCTGAACTTTTCCAATCCCCTTCATCTGGGCAAAATAAGGTCAGGTTTGCTCTGTTGTCTGGATGTATGGTACTAAGCAGTTCACCAATCTGTTGTAACAGAAACACTGATTTAGTTTTCTGCAACTTTGATTTGGGCTACAAATCTAGGCAAATTACAGAGGATAATATTACAAATACTGAAAACTAACACGAGTCACTTACCTCCTGATCTGTGAATATATCTATAAAACTGTGAAATGAGAAGCTTCCAGACTGGAGAGCTAGTCCCCCAGAGTTTTTGTAATACTGCCCGGAAAGTACCAGCAATTTGTCTCTGGAAGCATCTGAGACCATCACCCGGACCTAAACTCCAACAAACAGTATGAAACAGATAATATACATACCATGTATATATTACAATTGTTTCTACAGCTAACAAGACGTAAAGGTTTTTTCCACCCTCCCAACCCTGTGTTCTGTTGATTTGTTGTCTGTCTGACCAGAATATCACTACAAGGAATATGTATTCTGGTAGGTATTACTTCATATTAACTAGAATAGAATTTTTCTTCATTTTAGATACATAAAAGCTGCTTTTAATTCTGAACAATGTGAAAAATTGACAAAGTGAAAAAATATCAAAGAAGTTTTAAAAAATCCTCCCAATTTCTCTTTTTATGTAAGACAATTGTGGAATGCAGAGCTACTTTGGTGAGCAACTATCAATACACAGAAAGTTTAATTTATAATTCTTCAGAAACAGATGCAAAACAGATAAAGCATTAGATTAACAAAGAAAAATGGGACGGGCATCCCATCCAAGGTGTTTCCAGGTCAAATGCCCTGTGCTTCCTGGAACAGGATCCAGGTTCACCAAGTGCTGTGGATGGATGGATGGATAGATGGATGACAGAAATGATAAACTGCAACGTTTAATCTGCTAATGTTTGTTCAGTTGACATTTTTTTTAGGGTATTCTCATATGACATACGGCAGTTAGAAACACATTATATAAAAGAAAACCGCATTGACACCATATTAAACTAGCGAAAAAGAAAAAGACAAAAAAATTTACACATTAGTGCCGAAAGAAAACAAAACATAGAACTCATACTTCTGTGGTGAAAGAAAAACAGGACATTAAAGGCATACCTCATTGCTGACAGTCTCATGTGTTGGGTTCACAAGAACCACAGCTTCCAAAACCTCACTTCTGTAGTGCAAAGTCTTCTGTCCTAAAATAGTAACAGAATCGGATTACTCAGAGCCAGTAATGTAAAACTGACTGTCATACGGTATTAACTATTCTTCAATTTTGATCCTATATAAGACCAATTAGACTATAACGTCTGTCTATAATGTAAAATAAAAAACAGTTGTGCAATGATACAGACTGTAATGAAGCATTTTTTTAGAGTTAATGGTGTGTAATGGAATAACAATTATGCTCTAACCAAAAATGTTTTTACCATGATTCTGTTTCATTTCAGGTGGAAAAAGCACAAAACTACCTTTTCCATCAGATGAGCTTGTAGAATGTCGTGAAACAAATAGCTTCAGCTCTTGGTTGAGATTATAGTTAATATGGTCCACAGCCCACGAGCGGATTCCTGTGGATCCAAAGGGATTTTGAAATATAAGCTATTAACATGAGCATTTTGGGTGAATCCTTCATTTTGGGTGCTTTGCAATTTTGTCCATGAACAGTGAATTGTTTAAAAGACAATGGTCAGGTGATCCGTATCCGTGACATATATAAACCAATCACTATCAGTGACTAACAGCAACAACAACAACAACAACAGTAACAATGATGATGATTAAAATGATTATTTTTACTACTACTTCTACTATTAATAATAATAATAATAATAATTATTATTATTATTATGATAATAATAATAACCAACTACTTGTTGTTCATGTTGTAAAGCTTTGTGAGTAATCGAAAGCGAGGTAAAATGTCACTAATTACAAAGCTGTCTGTTTTACTCGACAAACTTATTTTAATTAGAAATAGCGTAGTCCCTCTCATCTGCATGCCTTTAGGTGCTTTGTTTACTTACAGTCATCCACCCCACATTGTTATGGGGTCAGATACATTTACAGAGGTACAGCATCGCTGCCTCACTATATAGCGTTGGGTCCATGAATCGCTCCACGCCTCTTCTCGACAGCACCGCACTGCGGACCGAGCCGCGCCCAGAAGCGCGCGTCCGCGCACAATTAGACGTAAACAGCCGAGTCTCGACTTTTATTATTATTATTACATTTTATAACTGAAATTACGTCTCAACAGATGAACTAAAGAAAAGTTCCTCATTTATTATTTCATCAAATAAAATGTCACGCAATATTTATCACACACTTTTGAAGAGAAATTTAAGAGAAATTTCGGATAACTTATAACGAAGTGAACTTAGTGTGACAGAAACTACGCAGATACGAAACGACCGCGGACATTCATCAGTTTGTGAAAACAATACGTTTGAGCTCACAAACTAAAGTACATATGAAATTATTACCGCATGTTTTCACTTTATGTGCAAAACGTATGGATAGCAAATAACGGACACATGACGTTTTCAACCCCAATAAGACATCATACAGAGTTACAGAGTTTCCATGTTAACACAACAGGGAAAACTGTCAAATTATTGCTTTTTAAACAAATATCCCCATGAATTGGTCGGTATGGGCACATATATTAATGTTATTGACAGTAATGGGCTTCAACTTGAAGTACATCTTCAAAGTGACGTACGCAAGTTTCCATAATGCACAGAAACTGATTTTTTAACGGAGTTTATGTAAAGGTAACTGTACTGGATCATTCAGTCAGTGGCTGAATGTGGCTGTTTTCGAGTATTTCTTACCTTTTTCGATGTCTTCTATCGCACAGCTCAGCTCTTCCTCCGACACGATTTCGCCAATAACTACAAGCAGGTAAAGTTTGCTGCTTGGGAATCGTTGAGCCTTCATGGAAGCTGCGATAGGAAACACAGCATCAGCACCACTCACCGGTCCGGCTGACGCCGCCATCCTCGCTCCTAATTGCCGGAGGAGATGATGGCTGGAAAGGTGGGGTTTGCTTTTTATACCCGCGCGCAGTTTGTGTCCAGGGTACGATTCGGGCTGAGACGTGCGCATCTCATCTGATGTCCTGCTGAGCGAATCAGCAGCTTCCGAAGTAATATGGGGTGGGGATATACTTGAAATTATGTCTTCGCTGCATCCGAAAGTGACTTATCATTATTCTTAATTATATTTAATGCAGGGCAGCGATAATAAACACAACAATTCATGCATGGAAGAATGAACCACAATGAAAGTAGAAACGTAATAGTTGTTGGCAAAAACGCAGAATCATTGTTTGCTAAATGGGTGCGTGATTCTGCATTTAGTAAACACTGCCCTTAAGTATTAAGCTTCGTTTCTACGCCTCAAAATTTTTAAAAAAGATGTATACTATTGCATACATTTATATTAGGCCTGCTGCATTATTTTGAGTTTAAATTATTTTAAAACTCTTTCCTGTTTGATAGAAGAAATATTCTGTATCCATAAAATATGCATCAGGAAAAGTACATTCTCCTTCCCCATTTAGCTCTTCTGCATGGCTTGGGTGAATATTTGTATGAAATCTGACTCCTCTGCCTCCATTATGTTTTTGTACGGGAAGTGGATGGACCTTTTTCAGAAGCCAGATGGAATTGTTTCAGTCGATAACTGAAACATTAGCTTGTGCTGAAACACTGTACTGCGTGACCAGAACTGCTTTCCTTTCCCAAGTGCAGTGTACAGTGTTTATGTAAGTCGGGCAGCACAGAACAGTGCATCAGTGTATTATAAGGAATTACACTGCATTGACCTCGCATCAAGGAAACCAGATGTTCATGACCTGCACGTTTTCTGGAAATGCAGCTAAAACTACTTCTCCAGACTCACCGATTTTGTAGTCAGATAAAGACACACTGCCACGCAGCATCGTAGTTCATTCTGAGTCCTTTAATTACCCCAGACTCAGCACCAATTTCCAGACGTGCGGCTTCGCTACACCAGAGATTCAAGTTCCCAGCACTGGGAACAAGCAGATCAAATCTTGGAGATGATGTCATTCAAGGACTCAGCCACATGAATGCTGGGAGAAGCCTGACATGAGGAATCCAAATTCCAAAGAAACACGATACGATACCCAGTGATTCAAGGAAAATGGAAACCTTCAGTCCAAAAAATCCACGCAGACACCTGATGTGAATATTTATGTGACAGAAATGTTCCCACATGCTCTTACATATTTATAACATCATTCCCAGCTTTTTTTTTTTTTTTTATTATATTTGTATAGGCACCAGTCTTTTTAATATTGGTTTTTCTCTTTCAGTAACGCCCAGCACAAAGCAGTAGAAATGCCATTACACCTGCCTCAATACTAACATTTATATATCTTATGTTATGTTCAGATATGTCCTAAATATTTTGCTATAGCACCACTGTTTATTTGTAATTCTTTACATTTTAGGTGCTTCAGGTTTTTACCTGTTTGCTTTGTAGAAGGCTTCACCTCTGACACTTTTTGTTCATATTCTTTGGCTGTTTGAACCACAACAGTCATATAGAAGCACTGAACATTACTTAAGTGTCATGCTTGCTGCATGTTTTATGATTTGTTCGTTGTGGTTTCATTATATTTTTGTGCCATTTCTGATTTCCCTCCCAGCCTGACCAGCGATCTGAACTTGAGCCGTATTCCATGCACACCTCATTCTGGAACCTCCCATCCAGTCAGAGATCCCATATCCAGGTGGTTCCCTGCTTGCCGCTGTGTCCTGTCCGGTGGACACGGAGAGCATCTGGCATAAAGCCATGCAGTACGGATAGAACAGATCAGTTTGGGGTATTTAGCATCAGTGTCTTGTCTGATCTTGTGGCAATAAAACCCTTGAGTCCCGTCATTATAAACACACAGCTTTTTGTGTGTACGTGGGTTTATCGTTCATCACTTTAAAGTGTTTTTGGCTTTAATTGATTAATCAAATTACAAAAAATGAAAAGGTACTTAAAGACAAAGGCAGTGCAACGCCTGAGCATTATTGTGGTGTTGGTGTGGAACCCACTGGAAGCATCATAACGTAAAAAGCATGCAGGCAGTTCGCAGGCAAACAAAGATGAGTGTAGTGCTACAGCCAGTAAATGTAGTTTTTGGCACGGTACCAAAAATACATCAAGGTTATTTCTGAACACATCATATGTGGTTAGTGGCTCTGGGGATTAAGACTCTGTGATTTGAAGGTCGCTGACTCAAATCCCGAGGCTGGCAGAATGATTTCACAGCTGGTCCCTTGAACAAAGTCCTTAAAACCAGTCCAAGGAATGGCTGAACCTGCTCCTTACTTTTCCCAGTTTGGATAAAACCATCAATGGTAACTCTTTGCATTAACTTCAAATTCATAATGCATTTATTATGCACTATTCATTATTCATTATGCATCCATAAAACATTCAGTGCACCTTCATAATGCATTCATCGAACATAAACATTATATTATTATATAAATGTACTGTTTGTCATTATCATATAATGTTTGTTATAAACGTATATTAAATCATTAAATCATCAGGACATTATGAAAAAGAGAGAAAAATTCTGGAGTTGGTTATTTCCTTTCATGACATAGCTAAACAGACTCTGAGTGTTCGGTAAATTAAAGCATTTCTATTTGCGGCACAGTGGCTGGGTGAGTCGTCTTATCACCTCGCATTTCAGAGACCAGAGGCTCAGCCCTCCGGCCCATTCTGTGCGTGCGTATTCGCCACATGTTGCGGGGGTTTCCACTGCATGGCGGGATAATCCTGTAACGTGCGCTAAAGATCAGAAAAGCTTGGCAAACACTGCCCTCTTGTGGCAGAATATGTTTTGCAAATAGACGTAGAAGTGAAAACTACTAAAAACATCAGTTACAGCCCATAAGTCATAGGTTGTATGAAAAAAATACCACAAAACTATATACGTGTTATTCACACATATATTCTAAATGTACAGTATTCAGTTGATGTTATCCATTCTAATAATCTGGGTTCCACTTGTCTTGGACATATAGGTGAATATTTCCTATAAAAGTATGCGCATAATGTGTTATGTTGACTACAGAACATTGTGTAACCATACCTGAGTGTTTGGATAAAGCCGGAAAATTTTTACAATTAAAAACACCCTTGTGGTTTATGCTTGTAAAAGGAGCTTCTAGGCAAATTATTGTGGGCATGTAGTGAATGCGTCTGAGGAGTCTCAAGTATTTTGAGCGTCAAATTCCTGTCTTTATAGTAACCACTCTGTAGAGCTGATTCATAGAGCTGATCTGCTGTGGGCTGAATGTGCCCAACAGGTCGTACACTGAATATATACAGATGAGCTTTGGGAAATGTTAGACAGCTTCTACCACTGGGTTTAATTTTTTGTCTATGTACCAGTAGCAGTTTTAAACAACTTAGAAATGACCTCAATGTAGGGTTCACTTCCCTGCTACTGCAAATTGAAATAAAGTTTCAACGTTTGGCATTTAGATGGGAACTTGTTAAAATAACAATTATTATGCACCTAAGAAAAAACAATGAAGCAGGTAATCACCGGAGGCGTTGATGAATTGAACAACTGTAACTGACAATTCATCGAACATATAAGGTCAGAAATTTTTACTACATTCAGTTCAGTTAATGAATAACTCAGTCAGCAGAGTGAATGAATAGAATAAAGCAGTCCCACGAAGGGCAGAAGGTTCTGGGAGCACCAGGAGAGATGAGCACGGCAGCTTATGAACAGTAATAAGGCCAAAACTTCCCTGCGACCTTCTATTGAAGTTCAGTAATCATGTTTTTATACTTTACACAGCAATGTGAGGATCGGCAGTGAGGCGTCTGGGTGGTGTTGTGGCTCCGGGGGTGGCACTGTTGCCTCTCAGTGTCAGAGCTGGGGGTGTGAATCCTGCTCTGATTGTGTAAAGGTCCTATTTACTATCACATTCCAAAGTGATGGGCTCTCCTATAAAAGATCAGGGTGTTATTTGAATAACATCTCACTCTTGAGACTGCCAAAGTATACCTGCATTCCATGCGAAGATTTCCAGCTTACATGAATCAATCCACCCACGTTCATCTTTCACCAATTTATTGTAAAAATACTGGGTAACACTTTACTTGAAAGCTGTCATGGATAATGGATTATAGATACCTACATAATGCATCATAATGGTTGGTATAAGAATTAATAAAGCATTATAGAATCTCATTTTGACAATTTTAAGGCATTATAATATTTATTATAATACTTCATAAATTCCATAATAATACATTATAATTGTTGATATAAGAAGTACTACATTATGAAGGTACCTATTGTGCATTGTAGATGAGAGCTTCATAAAGCATTCATAAAGCATGATAAACATGGCTATGTGTTGTCTTTTGAAATATTTTGAAATATTTATAGTTATGTTTATAATGCTTTATGCACGCATTACATTGTGTTACGAATGTGTTCATAGATTCTTATAGACATGGTATTCATAGAAAGTGTTACCAAATATTTTCTTGTTTAGTGTGGCTCTGTGAGCATTGTGAGAATAAACAAAACCTTGTTCAGTTATTGGGATGCTTCTTAAAGCCGGAAGATTTCTATATGCGGCAAAGATCTGTCTCAAGTGTAACAGGACATTCGATTGGGCTACAAAACCATAACTGTATAGTCCTGGTCATTCAGCTCATCTCAGTTCTGCTGAAATATTTGAGCTATTATTGCGCCACTTCGCAGATTTTTCTGCCTTTAGTTTCCATGGAATTGTAGAAGGATTGTTTATCAAATTTCTTAGAAGTTCTTGGAAATTATCCAAACCTTCTGTCATCATCATATCCAGACAAGAAAAGTCAGGATGTGACTGCTGAATCAGCCATACTTGAAACATACTGGGATTTTAGTATTGAATACAAAACACATGTCAGCAACACCATAGTTCATGTCACCAGCACCTAAACAAGCAACAAAATCTTGCCATCATTA